CCCTAGGCCACTCATTTGTCTCCCAACAGACATGTGATTGATCAATTTTCACGGGGAACCTCATCTCTCATCACTGTCTCCTTTTGAGGTTAGGTATATCGACTTTCGCATCTTATCTTCTCTAAGTGTTACTTTCACATTTTACCTAATTATCTCAGTCTTTAAGGGTATTTTTTTATATGTCCACACATCAATGCAACATATGTATCTCTACCACACTCATCTTTTATTGTTGCATTATTGTTTGTTTTCATCATTGTTAATTTTATACCGAATATGTTAAGTCAACGGTTAGCATTTATAATTTTTATTAAGCCTTTGCAGAGTAATAAGTGTTAGAAGGCGTAAATTGAAACAAAAAAATTGATTGAACGATACTTTTATGAAAAAATTCCGTAAATATTACTTATTTAAATGCGATGGACAAAAATCTTACTTAGTAACTATTAGTGATTATAATTATGTTCAAAATTTATGTCGTCGTAACTAATTGTATGTTACTGTGATGTAAATTTTAAACACAATTATAGTCATTAATAGTATTAATAGTTACTAAGTCACATTTTTGCCCGTGACATTTGTATTGATAATAATTAAGGAAAATCCTCTACTTTTGTTTATGTGGAGTAAAAAATATTTAATGTATGCAGCACATAAATGATCATCAAACGCATAAGCTTATTAATTCATTGATATTATAATATAAACAGATTTCTTTCAAAAAAAACCTATTAATTCATTTTGATATCTTAAAATAGTTTATTTTTTAACAAATTGGTCAGTGTCGCTCCTAGAGTAGTATACACATGCAACAATTGAACAAAACATATGAATAACAGAATAAGGGCCATAAGGCTACCGCATTTTAAAGGTAGAATATATATTACGATTTTCTAGTAAAAAATTAATTGGCATCATTAAGAGATAGAACAATCATTTATTTTCTTTTGAAAAACAAATAATTAATTTATTCATTAAATGATAGCAAAGATAAAGTGAATGAATAACCTCATACTACAATGAAATGGTCATAAAACAAAAAAATTAAAGATCAATTGAATTCTTTCAAATCAGTGAGAGTACAATAATATAGTATACTTAACAGCATTGTTGCCTTCTTGCTACTCGAAAGAGTAAATAAAAAACTACAACTAAAAGATCCGGCTTCATCAGTCATCGGAAAGAGAGAATTGGTTTGACCAGCAATCAACAAACAAAATTCAATTGAGCAAAAGTTGTACGAATCATCGGTTTGACCAACCACCGAAAAGGAGATCCAATTGAACGCTATTTTTTCATGGAGTGAGGTGGTTCAGGGGGAGGGCAAGTACTTGAAGCTTCAGAACAACTAAGTTGAACCTGTCCTGCCAACCATGAATAATGAACCACTTGATCGATTACATCGACGAGGAAGACACAACCTCTAGACATTGCTAGGAGTAGGAAAAATCCACACTCACCTTAAACGGGCACATATAACTCTCAGTCATAAAAGAAGTCAGACCAAAACCAAAACCTTAGAAGGTAGAAATAAAAAAGAGCAACAACATAAGAAAACCTTTGTTTTGTTACCGTCCAGAGAACGTCGCCATCATCAAAGACCGTTCCCAACCGGAGAAGAGAAAACTAGGAGATTAGATTTGTGCAACAGTTCACCGCCTAGGGTTTTTCCTGGGGTCGGCTCTAGCCTCAAAGCTTTCACATCACGTTGTTTTCTCCATATATTTTCCCACGCGAATGAATTATAACTCAGGGGCTTTGATACGATTCTGATGGATAGTCTACCCGGGGGTATATATCCGAAGGGTTATTACGGGGGATAACTTAGAGAGAAGTCAGAGCAAATAAGTAAATGTAGAGAGAGAGTATATTCAGTATGAATGCCGTTTTCAGCGTGGTTACAAATGGGGAAATGGGGTGCTATTTATAGTAGCAATAAATGCCGGACAGGGACACGTGTCAAGCGCTCATTGGCCGAGGGGTCACCTCAACTGGTTGGCGCTGGCAGCCGCATGTGGCCGCATTTAATGCGGCTGTTGGATGGGACGTCTGTGCAGGGTACGATGATCTGTACGCATATGAGGCGGATATCTTGTCGAGTGAGATGCCTTCGGCCATAGAGCAGTAACCGAAGGCTCCTCCAATCGAGGGCACCTTGGTGCCGAGGGCTCACAGTACCGAGGGCTACTGTTTTCGCCGTTTTCTCCCAGTTTCTTAGTTTGCTTGAGAAACCCGTTCTGTGAGAGTTTGGACCGTTCTGTGAGAGTTTCTTAGAAGGCATCCCTGGCGCGTAGTGCGGGCTGCTTGGTACTCTGGGCGCTGTGATTTGGGCCTGTTGGGCCTGTTGGGCCTGTTGGGCCTTCGCTGGAGTAGTAGGAGTCTGTGGGTCGGGGGTTCCCGGGCCATATACTCCATCAGGAGTCCCTCACTCCTTTTGCCGAAAGGTACTTGAGGGAAAAGGAGTAATTTGTGCTTGCCCTTTTGATGTTGTCCCGTCGTGATCTCTGAAGTTGGTGAGGAGTTGTTGCTTTTATGTCCCTGCCGAAGGCAGTCCCTCAGTTACCCACATGTCGGGACTTGAGGGTTTGCTTTGTTGTTTGTTGGAATTTCTACATCTTTTGTAATTTAATGATTTTCCCGAGGGGGTCCTCCAGTCCCCCACTCCTTGAGGCACTTGTAAAGTGGTGAAAAGGAGTAAAGTAGTTACGTTGCTGTTGTGGGCCGAAGGCTGACGCTTTTCGTTTCATTTTGGGGGGATGCCTCGTTAAAAACCTCATTAGGAAAAACCCTGGGGGAAAAAATCCTAATGAGGGAAAAAGAGTGCACCGAATTCCCCCAATGATGAATCGAAAATGTGAAACCTTGGTCAGAAATGGAGAACAACGGTAATGTCGAAGGCTCTTCCTTGTTCTGAGGGCTCATGTGTTGATTAGCCGAAGGCTTGCTGTTGATGTCCTGGGGGCGCCGAAGGGGAGCCCCTCAATCCGGGGATCGAGGGCCTGCCAGATGAGGGCAGCAGTGGAGTTGTTACCGGGGGGTCCACTGTTTGTTGATTAGTTGGTGATGAAGATACCCGAGGGCTTCCATTACCTGTGCGCCATGGGTCACCCGTCAATGAGGCAACTCCCCGGGGGCTACCCGGTTTTGCAGTGCTGAGGGGGAATCCCCGAGGGGTGCCCTGATATGAAGCCTTGAGTTTCTGAAGGGGTGATCCCGAAGGCATCTGCTATGGGCTGTGTGGGGCACAACCCAGGGGCGTCTCTGGGTAAGTGTACCCGGAGGCTCTCCTTGATGTAGCGGAGTGCAGTAGAAAACCCGGGGGCTTCCAGAATATAGCCGTTGGAAATATAGCCGTTGGAATACGTAACGTCAGGATATAGCCGTTGGGGGGGGGGGGAACACGTGGCGCGCGATGGCTGGCTGTCCGTGGGCGGCATCACTGGTTGGGTGAGGACGCGGTGTGTAATGATGGCGGTCCATCCGGAGGCCCGGAATCCAGGCCCAAGCCCGGATTCCATCGCCTATAAATACCCCAAGGCCAGGGCCATTCCCCGCTGTGCGAACTCAGTGTAGCGAAGCTCTGGCAAAAATTCTAGAGAGAGAAACTCCAGCCTTCGGTAACCACTCAGCTTTCAAGGTCAGTTCCCCCCGCCTTCCTCCTTCTAGTTTAGCTGTGCCTTGTGCCCCTAGGTTAGGAGATAGAATTTCCTAGGAAACCTTAGTTTTCCCGAGCCTTCGAATTAGCGAGCAGATGTTATCACAGAGCGACTCCCAGGATATCTCGGGGGAGCCTTCGGTAGAGATGGAGACATGCTCAGATGTGGAGTCTTCGAGCGTGGAGTCCTCGGAAGGTGGTGATGCCGCAGTGGCCATGGAAGTGGAGAAGGACCTCCAGGCCGAAGTTGAAGCCGAGGGCTTCGAGCAAGAAAACGAGGATGAAGAGCTTGCCCTCGCCGTGCAAACCGCCGAGCAGGAAGAGGAGAGGGAGAGACTGAAGGTGACGGTTGCCATTCCTCCCCCCGGGGTGCCGGGGAAGCCAGCTCCTCCCGGCCATTGAACCCGACGCCCATAAGTGTGGCTCCCGGGAAGAAAAACAAGACGAAGGCGACCCCGAGGAAGAAGCAAGCGGCAGTGGATGCCGGGCGGCCGGTGGGCATACCCGAGGGCCATTCGTTCTTGAATACTGCCGCTCTAGAGCTGAAGACGAAGGCGTCCCCGGCAGAATACCAGTCCACCCAGATGCTGGTTGGACCTTCGGCGCGCGTGGTGGAGCCCAGGGCGGATGATTTGCTGCGATACGCGCCCGAGGGGTGCTTTGCTGCTCACATCCTCTCGGTGGAGATGGGGCTTCGGTTCCCGCTCCATCCTTTCCTCTTGGAGTATCTGAGATTTGTGGGGTTGGTCCCTTGCCAGCTAACGCCCAACAGCCACTCCTATGTGGCTGGCTTCCTCTCCTTGTGTCAGAGCCGGGGGGTCGAGCCCACACTTGATCAATTCTTCATGTCCTTCAACCTTTGTCGGGGGGGACATTCAAATGCTGAGGGCTTTGCCAACCTTCAGTAGGTACCGGAGTTCCGGCTTTTTGATGATGTGCCCTCGTCTCACAAGGGGTGGAAAGAGAGGTTCTGCTACATCCGCCTCGAGGAGAACCCCTTCCCGGCCCAGCTCCGTAATAGCTTCCGGCGCCATCCGAAGGTGGGGAGCGCAGCTTTGGAGAAGAACGGCAAAGTGCTTGCCAAGAAGCCGGAGGGGTCTGACAAGCATGTCAAGATCAGAGAAGTCACCCTTCCTGAGGATTTGCTTAGCCTGGGCTTCCGGCAGTTCAGGCCGAGGGGCTCTTCGGATGAGAGATACCCTCCCCTCGATAGGGTCTTCGAAGGCGCCGGAGGTGATCACCGAATTGTTCACTGATGCGTTGATAGTTCTCTCTTATTCCGCCCCTTTTTTTTATGACGTAGTAACTGGTAGCCTTCGATCTAACCCTCCTGTTTTTTTTTGCTTGCAGGTAACAATATGGACGTTGGTTCCCTCTTCGCTTTGAAAAACGCGAAAGGGAAGAAGAAGGCCCCGGCGGGCGCTTCTGCCAGGGAGGGGCCCTCTCAAACTGCTGGCGCTGCTGCTGGCGCCGGAGGGTCCAAGGGTGCTGGGCCCATTAAAAAGAAGATTGCTGGAAAGGGGACCGAGCCCCCGGCCAAGAAGCCGAAGACCACCGCCCCTACCAAACAACCGATCACCGATGTGGTGGTGATTGTGGACGAAGGGCACGCTTCTGCCTCCACCCCCCAGGAACAAATCAATCAGGAGTTCTTTGGGCGGGAGAGGTTGGAGGCGTTAGTACCGAAGGGGGCCTCCGTGTTGGAGGGCAGCTTGAACCCTTCGGCTCTGATGAGCCAGATGCTGCCGTCGGCCGACCGACTGGCCCTTGCCCGACTGGACGAGGGATCCCTCGAGGCGAAGGTCCTCCTGAATGCTGCCTCCGTAAGTCACCTTCCCTTCTTTGCTCATTGTTATGTTTTCCTTCTGTACTATGTTCATTATGCCTTATCCTTGCCTTCGTGAATTGCAGACTTTTATGGGCCTCTGCGAGCACCTCCGAAGGGTGGATCAAATGAGGGAGGCCAAGGGTGCCGCCGAGGGGGAGGCCGCCCTCCTCAGGAAGAAGCTCGCTGAAGCCGAGGACTCTCTCCGTCTGGCCACCGACGGTATGGAGCAGAGGGTGCAGGCTGCAAGGGCCGAAGGGGTCAATGAGGGGCTAGCCAGGGCCGGGGAGGCCGCCGCCGAGGCCGCCCTTATTGCTGCCGATGAAGCCCGCGCGGCTCAAGAAGAGGCCGTCTCCAAGGCCCGAGAGGATGCAGTGATCAGCTTCACGGCCGAAGGGTGGAAGGCCGAAGACCGGAGGGAGTGGCTCGCTTCGGTGGTGGGGGCTTCAGTAGACGAGTGGGTCGGGGGTCCCGGAAAGATGTGGCTTGCCGAGAGGGGCGACTCGTACTACCAAGGTGGGGAGTTCTTCACCCAACGCCTCATCTACCGGAAGCTTGCGAAGCACTTTCAGGTGGCACCGGAGGAGTTCCGTCAAGAGGCTTATGGTCTCCCCCCCCGCCAGCCAGATGTCAGGATCCCGCTCCCCGAGGGGGAATAGAGGCCAGTTCTTGAAGACTCGGAGACCCTCCGGGAGTGCGGCCTTGGGGGTGAAGAAGATGAAGCCGAGAGCGAGGCGATGTCCGCAGTACCCCCTTCTTGAATTGTAATCCCCCCTTTCGTGTTGTAATTGTTGGCCTCGGCCTCCTTTGTAACAGTGTATTTAAACTCCCTTTTTTGAATGAATGAGCACATATATGCCCTCGGGCCTTTGACATATAACATGCTTCCTTTTGTTTTGTTCATCGTCGAATATATGCCTTCGTCTTGCTATGGATGTATGCCTTTGTTCCTTTGAATGTATGTTTTAGGACTTAGAATTTTTTCTGACTGTAGCTTGCCCCTGGAAGCCTTCGGTAGTTGGGCACCCTCTGCTGGATATGCAACCGAGGGTTCAGCAGCAATTAGGACTTAGAAATTTTTCCTAAGTGTAGCACAGCATGAGGCCTTCGGGCGTTTGTAGTAACCCAAATCCTAGGACTTAGAAAAATTTCTAAGTGTAGATTTCCCCTTGAGAGCCCTCGGGGTATGGCATCCCTTCCTGATGTGTGATTGTTGGACCGAGGGCCCAATGTACAGGACTTAGAAATTTTTTGCAAGTGTAGTATGTCCCGTAGCCTTCGGCTACTGTGGAGCCTCAACTGAAATCTTGAGTAGGCCGGGGGCCAATTCTTTAGGACTTAGGAAATTTTCGTGAGTGTTGATTCCTTGTGTACTGTAGCCTTCGATTGATAGGCAGCCTTCGGCAATTAGGTCCCTTGAGATGAGGGTGAAATATGTAGGACTTAGAAAATCTTCTAAGTGTAGAGTTTCCCTTGGGAGCCTTCGGGAGATGGCATCCCTCCATGATGTATGAGTAGCTGACCGGGGGGGAAAATATGCAGGACTTAGAAAATATTCTAAGTGTAAATTTTCCCTTGGGAGCCTTCGGGAGGTGGCATCCCTCCTTGATGTATGAGTAGTTGACCGGGGGAAAAACATGTAGGACTTAGAAAATATTCTAAGTGTAAATTTTCCCTTGGGAGCCTTCGGGAGATGGCATCCCTCTTTGATGTATGAGTAGTTGACCGGGAGAAAAACATGTAGGACTTAGAAAATATTCTAAGTGTAGGTTTTCCCTTGGGAGCCTTCGGGAGATGGCATCCCTCCTTGATTCCACATCACTTTGCGAGATGCCCGGGGGCTGGCCTTCGGCTACCATATTCCCTTGGCTGTAATATTGATTGGGCCGGGGGCCCAATCTTTAGGACTTAGAATTTTTTCAAGTGCTGCTTCCTTGTGTAGCCTTCGGGTGATAGGTGCCCTCTGACTCTACATTACTTTGCGTAAATTGATGTTGAATCCTGTTGTTGTGAGGAAAGCCAATGAGGAGTGTGTGCCCTCAGCATACACTTTAAAAGATGTAGAATTTGACCCTTGTCATGGGGAAAAGGCCCTCGGTACTAGTGCGTCACAGATGCCTTCGGTATATGTTTGAAGGTACCGTCTTAGTGTACTTTGGATAGTCCAGTCCCTTTGTATTGTTGAAGCCTTCGGTGTTTGTGTGACCGGAGGTGGCCAGGCAGTGGATTTAGCCGTTCCTTGCTGCTATTTGTTCGAGTAGTATCCTTCGGGAAATAGGAGCCTTCAGTTACCGGAGGTGTTCCCGTGGGGAGCCCTCGGTTTGTTGTGATCTGTTGGAGTGTACTCTTTGATTTCTCGCTGAGTCTACTCCCCTTCACCCCCTCTTTTTTTTTTTTGGTTGGTGGTGTAGGGAAGGCATCAAGAAACTTGGTTTCTTGGTAAGGCTGGGCCTATTAGGAGACCATCAGAATACACCAATGGCTCTCCTCCCTCGGGTTAACCTTCCGAGTTCCGAGGGGATCGAGGGACGTTTCCTGGGCACAAGATATGGTGGTCTATAACCTGCCTCCCCTTGGGGGATGGCGCGGAAAGCGCCTCATTTTTGAAAGTCGTCCCCTCGGCGCTAGACATAGTCCGTGGCCTGCCACACCCTTGGGGTGGTGGCGCGGGGAGCGTTTCGGTTTGGAAGTCGAATCCTGGGCATTTCTCATGCCTGTCATACCCTGGGGGTAGTGACGCGGATAGCGTTCCGTTTTTGAAAGTCGAATCCTGGGCATTTCTCATGCCTGTCATACCCTGGGGGTAGTGACGCGGAAAGCGTTTCAAGGAAGGGTTTTCATTTGCACACTAGTTGCAAATGGCCGGGGGCACTAAGTGCGCCGGCACCGATGGTGGCGCCTTCGGTATATGCGTCCTCGTGGGGTACGGCTTTTAGAAACAACACTTTATGTTAGTTTCGATGTGCAGCTCCCGGTACTTGGTACCGAGGGGTCTTCTGTAGGAACACTTGGTGTTCTCTTTTGTCGTAGTTGATGTAGGCGTCTACCCTCGGTACTTGGTACCGAAGGGTCTTCAAATGAAACACTTGGTGTTTCCCAACAGATGTTTGGAAGTTGATAGGAGAGCATATCCCTGGCACTGGGTGCCGTGGGGTCTTCTTTGAAACATTTTGGTGTTTTTTCTTCGTTTCGATGCTTGATGATGGAGGTGTACCCTCGGCACTGGGTGCCGAAGGGTCTTCTGTAGGAACACTTGGTGTTCTCATTTTTTCTTTTTTCTTTTTTTTTTTTGATGATGAAGGTGGGAATGTACCCTCGGCACTGGGTGCCGAAGGGAAATGAAACACATGGCGTTCCTTGTTGTTGGTGATAGGAGTTCCCTCCCTCGGCACTGGGTGCCGAGGGGTCTTGACTGAAAACACGTGGTGTTTTCACTGTTTGTTGTAGGTGTTGATGGTGTCCGCCCTCGGCACTTGGTGCCGGAGGGGGTTCTTCTCGTGGTGAGGCCTGGGGCCTGCAGTCAGTATGAGGGCTTGATGTCTTGAATGTATCTTCATTCTTCGAAATTGGAGGCCTTGGGCCATAGGATAGTACATTCACTAGTTATGAGGGCTTGGCCGCTCTTACATTATTGATAAAATTTAACTAAATGGTGTACATTCCAGTGCCTAGGGACTTCTTTCCCATTGGGGCGTTTGAGCTTGTAGGTCCCGGGTTTGATGATGGCTGCTATGATGTAGGGGCCTTCGAATTTTGGTGTCATTTTTCCTCCCTCGGTTGGTTGGCTGGCTTTCCTCCTCCGGAGGACATAGTCCCCCACTTGAAATTCTCGGGTGCGAACTTTGGCGTCGATGTAGCTTTTAACTTGCCTTCGGTAGTTTTCTGCCCGGATGAAGGCCTGCTCCCGGCGTTCTGAAATGAGGTGGAGGTCGAGGGCCATGTTGCTGTCGTTGACCTCGGGGTCATATTGGATCACCCTTCGAGTGGGAAGGGTGACTTCCGTAGGAGCTTTGGCTTCAAAACCGTAGCAGAGGGAGAAAGGTGTTTCACCTGTTGCTCGCCGAGGGGTGGTGCGATAGGCCCAAAGGATGATGTGGAGTTCTTCCACCCAGCCACCACCCTCGGCCTCCAGCTTCTTTTTGAGGCCCTCGAGCAAGGTCCGGTTGGCGTTCTCTACTTGCCCGTTGCCTTGAGGGTAGGCAACGAAGGAGAAGGTGTGTTTGACGCCCCATGCCTCCAGAAGGGCACAGAAGGGGGCTGCCTCAAATTGTGTCCCATTGTCGGAGATGATCTGCTGGGGGACGCCAAACCTTGTGAGGATGTTCTTGAGGACGAAGTGACGGCACTTCGCCTCTGTGATGCTGGCGAGGGGTTCAGCCTCCACCCACTTGGTAAAGTAGTCGACGGCCACAATGATGTATCTGTTGTTGGAGGTACCCCTCGGCAGAGGGCCCACAAGGTCTATTCCCCATCGGGAAAAGGGGACAGAGGTGCTGATGGGGGCATAGTTGACGCTGGCCTGCCGGGGGCTTTCTGGAAGTGTTGACATGCGGTGCACCTCCGGGCAAGGTCAGCACAATCTCTGGCCATGGTTGGCCAGAAGTAGCCCTGGAGAATGAGCCTTCGGGACATGGAGAAGGGTCCCTGGTGAGCTGAGCAAGTGCCACTGTGCACTTCCTCCATTGCGACCTCGGCTTCATCTGGATGAAGGCACCGAAGTAGCGTGCCATTGTAAGATCGTTTGTAGAGCCTTCCATCTTCGATGGTGTAGCTAGGAGCCCTCAGCTTTGTCAGTTTAGCGCGGGCCTCATTTTCGGGTAGCTGCCCTGTGGAGATGAAGGCGGTGATATCTGAGATCCAATCCTCCTGACGTTGTTGTATGTTCATAACGGGGCTTGCATGGATGCTTGAGAGGCTGAGTTCCTCGATTTTGGCAATTTTGGAGATGTGCTCGGGGGAGTCGGCCGAGAGCTTAGATAATATGTCGGCCTCGGAGTTCTGAGCCCTCGGTATTTGAGTGAGAGAGTGTGCCTCAAATACCTTAAGCAACTCCTTAGTCGCTTCCTTGTACTGTTTCATTCTCCCCTCCTTGGCCTCATATTCTTCGGAGATTTGGCCAACGACCAACTTGGAGTCGCATTTGATGTGGATCTGCCGAGCCCTCATGTTGGCAGCCAGCCGAAGGCCGCATAGGAGGGCCTCATATTCGGCCTCATTGTTGGAGACCTTGAAGGAGAAGCGGATTGCATAGTAGGCCCTGAAGCCCTCGGGAGTAATGAGGACTACCCCTCCCCCGCATGCTTTGGTCGCGGAGGAACCGTCAGTGTAGAGGGTCCACCAGTCGTCCGAGGTAGCCGAGGTTTCCCCATCCGTGGCTGCCCTTGCGGTACACTCCGTCACAAAGTCCGTCAGGGCTTGGCCCTTGATGGCGGGCCTTGGACGGATGTCAATGTTGTACTGGCTCAAGAAGATAACCCATTTCACCATGCGGGAGGAGCTGGTGGGGCTCCTCATGAGGGCGCCGAGGGGTTGATGAGTGAGGACCTGAACCGGGTGAGCCTGAAAGTAGTGGCCCAACTTCTTGACAGTCCAAACGATGGCCAACACCGTTTTTTCCACAGGGGAGTACCTGAGCTCGGCTTCCCTTAGGGTCTTGCTGACGTAGAAGATGGCATGTTGGATGCCGTCTTCCTCCCGGATGAGCACAGAGCTGATGGCAGCCGGGCTGACCCCAAGGTAGAGGTAGAGGGTCTCCCCTACCTTGGGTTTGGAGAGCACAGGGGGTGAAGATAGATACCGTTTGAGCTCGTCGAAAGCCCCCCTGGCATTCTGGAGTCCATAGAAAGCCAGCCGTCTTCCTCATGATCTGGAAGAAGGGTAGAGACTTCTCCGCTGATTTAG